CATCCCCTCATCAATGGTTATTTTCAAAGCTTCCAAACTACTTAAATGCCAAGAATGCTTTTGCTTAACTGCTTTGCTTGCCTGCCTGCCTTCCTCTCTCTTGTTTCTTAACCCTCACTTTCTTCTCGGCTTGCACTGGAAGGTTCGTCATCGTCGCCACTTGTATCTGCTGGTACACATCATTTTTTTCTGAGCTTGAGACGCTATAGTTGAGACGTTATAGTTCTCATTGGACCAGAGTTGGCCAAGGCTGGGTGATCAGGAGACTGATCATAGTTTCTGTCTTCTTTAGTTGTGTACAACCCATTAGTGTAATAATTAACAAGCTGCTAAAAAAAGTGAACATAAACGTTCCATTTGTTCTTCAAATAGTCTTGAATGGGCAGCCACCTCTTAATACGGTTTAACTTTATAGCCATGTAAAATGCCTTCTGCCTTCCTTCTTATGACTCTCTTGGAAGCACAATCATTGTTCCCTCACAGATTAAAAGTGTTTTACAAACGGCATCTGCAAAGTACTTTCTGTAAGGAAAATGTGGAGATCGGCTTGGCTAGGAGGTAGTAAGTACATGCTTTTCACCTTAGCTATTTCTAAGGTCTGCTTGGCCAGGAGTTAGTAAGTACAGGGTTTACACTTTTGCTGTTTCTAAGTCTTATTAGAGCTTTTGAGGTTTTCGCTCCAACTATTCCATGTGTACTGAGAGAGCACCTTCTTCACTATATTTTGGCAAATGGCATTTGTACGTTCAAGTAGAAAAATGCAACCAATGTAGTTTGCACTATCATTTCACAAGAATTTTTGTAGAGAGAAAAGAGCCAATTTTGTGCAAGAAGTTAGTTACTATTATGATACCTGTAGTGTTATGTATTCATGGGTTGTACTGTTTCAATAGATGAAATACACAAAAAGCATATATTGTCGGTATTTATACTAGAAGATGTCTTAGACGTCTAGACGCATGAAACATCTGACTGGTAAGTGAGACCAGTATAATTACCGGATGTACTTAACTTTACTACCTTTATTATGTCCGTTATTTTACGCCACTTTCTTTTTCCATTTGTATTTCACCCTCAGCTTTGGAATGGATGTGTTTATTGGACTTTGCTTTCCCTTCTTTGGTTTCCTCTTTATCCTTCCCCTCCAGTAGCCGAGTATCCAGCTCTTTCTTAAATTGTTCAAATACATGTATATTGGCAGATTTCTTCAGGGCCGAAGTTTCTAAAGTGAGGGCAAATTCACTTTTGTCATCTGCTACCACAATGGCAGATTTTTGCAGTCAAACAATATCATTATGGTTTACTATTACTTATTGCTTTAACATAAAATGTTTTTTTGCAAACTATTGGAAACCTCTTAGAGAGTGACAGAGGTGGAATGAATGTGAAATATAGTAAAAGCAGGCTAGGGAAACGTGACTAAAAATAAAAGAGTTTAAAGCTGTAGCCATGTTGCTTTTAGAGTCTTTTTCCATAATACTAACCTGATCAAATTTAGGCACTCCCCACGACTCAAATGCTATGCAAACTACAATAATAATATTGGCAAGTGTAGGTAAATGCAATGTTAGTTCTAGATCAAATTGATAATTCACTAAAAATAAATGAAAAGCCTCAAAAATACTGAACAGAAACTGTCAGCCAAGTGATGGAAACTAATATTATTATTGAGTCATAGAAATTTGAAATAATACACAATTAAGCTGTTTTTCTTGATAACAATCTAAAAGCAAGTGCAATACAAGGACAGCAGCAAATGGTCATAATATTCCTTATACCTACCATGCAGACAAACATCCCACAGTAATAGCCATTTTTTGGCTTGGGAATTTCCTTTTGATAGAAGGATAGAATAGAAGTGATTTAACTGACTTGCTCTTGATTGTCATTTTAATAATGTTTATAATCAACGGTTACTTTTTTTGCAATGGAGACATAAGATTAAATACCAGTATTGTTATTATCAGAGCAATACTCATTTATTATTAATAAGCTAATATTTTGATGTAATATACCTTTCGGAATTTCTTTGACCAACTTTCTGCGTGAAATTGTCTTCCTCTTTTAACACTTTCATGCCCCAGAAAGCCCCTATTACAGTAAATATACGGTGCATTTGTCAGTGATGTTGCATGATGTGATGTGATAACGGTAAATATACAGTGCATTTGTCAGTGATGTTGCATGATGTGACACAATAATAAATTGTATCACCCAACTTTTGCCATGCATGCTTTGATATAGAGAATTAAAAATCTATTTTGAATTGAATTACCTGATGTTCTCAAAGAAGATGGGAGGAACGCGTTTCCAAGAATCCTAGTATGATATTCTCTTTCCAGTGACATCCACCACCTTAGGAAAGTATATTATACAATGTAATTAACTTCACTCATCTGCGGATGTGGATACCACTGACAGTAATAATATTAGTCTCTATAAATTGTTAGGTAGATGTACAATTGTCGACATTACCCCAAGAGCCCAATGTCCGGGAAGGTGCACTGGGACCAATAGCACAGCTTCGTCAAATATGTCAATCTGAAGACAAAAAATATGTCCAAAAAAAATTTATAAGAATGTCACTTTTGAGTTTTGCCGAAAAGGGAAAAAAATAATGCCAGTAGTTTGAAATACTGCACCTTTCTGGTCCATCTAGCCATCCACTTTGGCCCATGCTTTGATAGTTTTTATAAAAAAATGTGTTGAAGCAGTGAACCCTTGGGTGGCCTGTTGAAGACTGAGAGAAAAACTATCTGTGATAAGCATTCATGTTAGAAATAAAGAAAAATCTACTAGTCAAATATATTGTGGCAACCTAGTATTCGGCAATTTTTTAATAATAATGATTGTTGCCTGCATTTAATTTCTGGTGCCCTTACCTTGCTTCTTCTTTGATTAATAAGCTTCATTTAAACATTTATAATGTAAAATTGAAACAGATAGAGCACAAAGTTATATTTTAAAATACAAATTAATATATAATCCACTGAGTTTCTGTCAGCATCTGATCATTCAGCTGTTTTCCATCTTCCAGTGTGTTTAAATCATCCTGTGAGAGTTTAAGGCCAAACGTCTCCAGAATAATGGACTGTGTTGTCTTAGGAGTTGCTGATATGATGGGGCAGTTTGGAACCTTTAAAGGCGAAAGAGGGGGACACACACAATGTGATGAATAAAATCTTGAATCGTATGTAATCATGGCTGTGTATACTATAATATCATTTGTAGCTCTTACATTCAATTGTATGTTTTATAAATAAGATGCATTGCAGTCAGACAATGTACAATTATGTACAAAGACCTCTGTCATTAATATAATCATTGCTATTGCTCACCTTGTTACTATCTTGGTCTTTTTCTGCATGTTCCTTTTGCCTGTAAGTTTGGAAGGTACCCCTTAAAGTTCAAAACAATGTTTACTGCAATTAAAAATTTGTTTTAGTGAAGCAACGAATCACTAGTCTAATGGGAATGAAAAGGTAATGTTATATATGATGTATACATGTGTGTTAACTACTGCAGACTCTGGACTGGAAACTTTTGTGTTTTGAATTGATTACCTATTACTATTTGTCTTGTTCGGGTTTGTAATCTTCACAATTCTAGAAAGGATGCTCTGTTCTCCTTCATCACAACATATTGCAAGTAATCCAAAACTCCGCTCTCCCAATAACAAGTCATCCTCTGAAACTGGTGCCTGTTCCTCGCAGCCCTTGTGACGCACTATCCTTCTGATGTAGTTAGTTCAAAAGATCAGTAATGTTGCTTTGCCTTCGCCATCCACAAAGCCTTTGGGGTTCCTTGCATGTGTATTGAAAAGTGCAATGCAGCCATCTAACGGTTTCTTGACAGCTATGGTGTACTCAAGAACACCAAGTAGACTGCCAGCATTGGACAGGAGAGCACTGCATAAGCCCTCTTCCAGTGTCACAAATGGCCAACAAGAGGCTCTAGAAAAAATGTCACCAGTAATAATACCATCTGGAAAGGTAAGGCACTGACTTACTCCAGTCTTCTGAATAGCAGTTTGCAGCTCTTCAAAAGAAAGCCTCTGCCCAACATTGCCCAAGGCACTCGTTAGTACTGTTTGCAGTCGATCTCCTACTTTAAGAACTGCATCAATAAGGAGTTTTGGTACTTTCTCAACTGGAACTGTGGTATGGTGAAGAAAGAAAGTAAAGCTATTACCAGTACACTGTTTCCCTCTATTAGTTTCGCTGAATTCTTCAGAATGTTGGCTCATTGATCCCTGCACTACCCTCACTTGTGATGAGTCAATCTGTATATTGAGACTGAGGGAATGCTGTGGCTTGACTGTCTGGTTGTATTGGTCAGCTTCTTTATCTTGTTTACGACAGACAGGCGGTCCTTGTGCTTTGTAAGGTTTGGTGGATGTTTTTTTGCTGTCATGGACTGGCTGTGCACTGAATGGCTCAGTTCATCTTGACCCTCACAGACAGGAGATCCTTGAACCTTGGTGGATGTTTTTTTGTGTTGGCTCTTGATCTTGATGATCTGCTGTTGTGGACTCGCTATACACTGTATGGCTCACTTCATCTTCACCCTCATTGACTTGGTCTTGTAGTATTTCTTTTGACTGGACCTTTTCCTGTTTGTGGAAATGGCTTCCTAAGGTTTGGTCGTTGTTTTTCTGCTGATGTTAGTTTAGTGATCTTGACTTCAGTTGATTTTTTCACTGATGGTGGTGATGTTTTGGCTTTTTTCAATTGCTTGACACCAGTTTTGACTCCAGAAAGCTTTTTTTTCACTTGCCTTTATACCTTGTCGTCCCACATATTTGGCCCTTTGTGGAGATTGCGGTAAATCGCAGAATTGATCTTTCAATGATGGCATGTTTTCTTTTTAAGGGCTTTTTTTCAGCTGGAACTTCCAGGTCTATGCCATCCTCATCTAACTTCAGATAGCGCTTGGACTAATTTAAGTTGTAGTGAAGTCAAAGCCTCTGAGTCGTGGACCAAGTAAGAAGCACATCTTAACTAGGCCAGTAGATCGCGGCACAGAGCTCCCTCGTTCCTGTGATTTTTTTGGCGGTTAGGAAGGTCTTCTTCAACATCAAGAGTCGGAGGGCTTTTCGAATCTGAAGTGCATTGATCAACAAGTGAATGCTTTTCTGAGATGTTTTGTTGTGCTTGTGGTTCTTCTAAGTCTGGAGTTGCCAATGGTTTTTCAGCAGTTAGGGAGCTGGTCATGTTGCAGGGTGATTGTAGCTTTGTGATGAGCTCCTCATCCAATGGGGAGAAAGGAGACTTGAGGTAGAGTAATGAGAAGGTTTCCCATTGCCAAGCTGGGTAAGTATTGAATATGGCAATGAAGTGCTTGCAGGGCAGCCACCACTTTTGCCAGTCTGGGCGTCCACAATGGCACATGGTCTCAGAATCTCCAAAACTCACTCAATACTGGGAACCTTCCAGGCTTTGAGTCTTGATTTTAAATGTTCCTTTACAGATATCAATGCACTCGATGTGTTAGCTCTTAATATCCTTGGCTGCGAAAATCCTCTCTATACAATGCAGAACTAATATTCTCAGCCTGTTCATTGAAAATGAAGGAATTGCTGATTTACACTGCGAAATCCTTGGGAGTACCTCACATTCATCTCCACATACCTTAAATAAAAATCAAAGTAATTGCAGGGAAGTCAGATTTTCAAATGTCATTTAGAGTTTCCTGCAACATTTTGAATCTTTATTTTATTATTATTTTATATTTTTTAAAGTGCGAGTTTATAATGTCAGGATTATTCCAAGTGTATTCTAGCACAGTTCTTGTTATTATATACCATAATGAAATGTTTAATGCAGGCTGTTTAATTCCTACCTTTTGTGATTGTCAGGAAGGAACTCTTCAATGAGGATGGTCAACATTCCACTTAAGCTATTATTTTTGTGGTGGTGAAGGTATGCATACTTGAAGACTTGATTTTGTCTCTCCAGTCCATTGTTTGTGTTTGTGCGACGTATGAATAATATTTTCATTACATACCTGGGAAAATTTCGTCAACAGCATTAATTTCTTGCTCACTCAAGTCCGTCATAAAGAACTGTGGCTTCTATGATTTGGTCCACTGCTTAAGTGTTTGTAGCGCCTCTGCTATTGCTTCAGTTGCCTCATGCTGAATGATGAATGATCCAACCTCCTGGTAATCTACATTAGTTTTAACAGCCAGGACGAATAGTGGCAGTGAGTACCTGGAGGTGCGATAGGTTGCATCCAGCAGGCAAATGTTGTCGCCATATTTCTTTAGAAGTCTTCTTTGCCAGGTGGCTTGGTGCAGAAAGAGAAAAGATTGTTTGCAGGTGTTACTAGTCACTTGAACTTCTTCATCGTAGTAATTATCATCTTTGACGTTAGCACAATCAGGCACAGCAATATCACTTTCTGCCTGACCCCGTCTTGCTGCATAGGTGCAAAAGTAAAACAGGTCCTGTGGATGTTGCCTCTGCGACTGACAACTTTCACAGACACATTAGTCTGGTCACATTTTGAAAATCTGTTTTGCACCGTAGTCCTGCAGATGTGATTGTGTATGCCCTTTTTGGTCGGAAAGTGTGTTGATTGTAAGTGGGCGGTAGTTCTTGGCCACCAAACAGGTCATTAGCAAGGTATTCCCTCAGGTGGCGTCTCATTTCATTGACACTTAGGATGCCATTTCGCAGTAGATATTGGAATTTCTGAGCAACCATTTGGTCCATCTGTTGTTGAATACCACCTGCCTGAGATTTTTAAGAGAATGCATATATTAATGAGTTATTTTGGACTGTGAAACATTTCTAAGAATACAATACTATGAATCAATGAAAACAAGGTAATGTATTCCAACCTCCCCAATAATATGGTTTCTGTGGCTGCCTTTTTCGGGAAAACGAATGTAAATTCTCCCTTCACTTTTCACCACATTATTGCCTTAAATTGCAGCTTGTAGCCTTGATGAACTGGACTTTCGCTTTCTCTCACTATCTCCAGGAATCTTAAACAAAAGAAGACATTTCCAATCATTAAACGTAATGGGCTTTTAGTAATACTATTGTGTCACTTGCCTTAGACTTGACTTTGTATTTTTTCCTGATTGTTTGGATTTTGAGTATTCTTACTTTATTAGGGTGGTACATTTTCCCTTCTAATGAGTGTCTAGACGTTTTGTTGTGTGTTGCCAGTAGGAATGGGGAGGAAGGCTCACTCAACCAGGCATTTTATGTTTCAAATTAGGGGTGGGGCAAGGGGGGGAACACTCACAAATTTTCTTTCCAATATTATGAAAATTCCTCTGTCCCCAACACACAAAGGCGTTGATTACATAGTTATTAGTTCATTATTACCTTGAATGTTGAGAAGAACATGACCTCGTTTAAACATATTTGTGCTGGGCAGTCTAACTTCTTAGTGTTCTGCACAAGTTGATTCCTTTTCTTGTTGTACCCATGGTCACTTAATGACTCATTCGGTGAAGAGCATATATTTGGTAAAATAACCTTTCTAAATCTTCGTTTGGCCTTGTGAAAAAGGAAACATTCTATTCATCCTTCTATACAAAACGTAAAAAAAATACACTAAAAACATCCAGCTGTTTTTGCTTATATTTTCTTTTTGCTCCTATAGTTCTGTCTTTTCCATGATGGCATTCTAACAACTTTTCACCAAGTACAAAAAACGGCACTCCAGAAAATGGAATGTAGTCATTATTCCATAACACTCTGTGGGGTTTGGCGGAGGGATCTGTGGAAATGTTTTAGATAATTAGAGGTATGTGGCAGTGTTTCATATATCTGTGCAGGGGGGGGGGGATATTTATAATATAACTAATTCACAAACTAATAAACTGCAGTGTGAAACCTGACCTGGAGTGTTTACCTTTTCCTTGTTCCTTCTATTTTTTCTCTCTCTCGCCCTCTGTCTCTTTTTTTTAAATGGAGCTGTATGTATTTGTGTGGTGGGGGGGGTCTTCTTTGGAGCGGGAATGGGGTTCGGGCTTGCAATCATAAACTGTTGGGGACCGGCTACACTCTAATCAAACCTATCCATTCATCCATTTAGCCCTGGCGTCACAGCCAGCCATCAGCTGCTGCACCAATTTTACTGGAAATTAAAAAATGGTACCTGTTCGTCCAAAGTGTTTCTCTGCCCAAACGCAGCAAAATCGGCTGGTTGTAGCTGTTTGAAATGCAGTAATTTTATCGTTAGCTTCTTCGATAGAGGACACATGTATCCATCCTTTGTACGCCATCGCTCCATTCGAAAAGGCCGCAAAGTTGTTTAATCATTAACAACCTTTGCATTGTTCCATTGTAAACCATACTTCCAGTCAAGGTCTGAGTAACGCGTGTGAAATATATTCACAGGGTAAAGTTCAGACTCTTTGCAAGGACAGATGAGGTTGAAAAGAGACCATTATGAGACAAAATGGGATTTGAAGTATACATTTTATTTCAATACAGATCTAAAAGTTGTTGTTAGAGACCTTGTTTTGTTGAGAGCCTATTCCAATCCTGAATCGATCAGAAATAACTATATCTTCTTAATATTTTATATTGTTATACGTTTCCTGGTTTCTGTTGTTAATTTTTATATTGTTATACTGACTATAACAATAAATACATATAAGAAAACATGAAATAATGACTGCACCAATGTGTTCTCTTCATACATCCTGTTGGGCCGTGTGAAGTCCGCTGGAGTAACAGAGATCACAACATTCGAAGGGAAATTGCACAGTGATTGCTTAAGAATATGATTGTCTTTGTTTTAGCACGCTCTTAACGTTTCAATGTAGTAAAAGCCCAAAGTGTACTCCGAGGCTCAATTAGAGAGTTAATTACTTATTTTAGTGGTCTTTAGAAGGATCTCTTTACACATCACTTCTCCTCTGAAGACCGTACAAAATGTGCGGAACTTGGGTTCCAATTAAACTACGTAAATGAGGTTTGATAATCTGCATATTAATGAGCGTACTTCTAAAACGTGTGAACGAGTGACAACCTATTTGATGTGGGGAGAAATGGGGGCTTTGAAAAGTCCCTTGTATGCAGCCAGGCAACATACTGTCCAAAATAATTAGGGGGCAAATTAGTTCTTTCATTCACTTAAGACAATTAACTGTCCTGCAATAGTTTCAACTTAAACTGGACACAAGGTTCCACGGGTAGTGAGTTAAACATCTCTCTCTATTGGAGGCAAACTTTAGTGTTATGACCACTATTCCAATTTGCCAAGACCTAGAGCTGTTGATGACTCCTTTCCCGAATTCCCAATTGACACTGACACACCATTTTGAGGGAGATTGCGCATGCCCCTAGTTTCAGGAGGAGCAATTTATAAGTTGTGTAAAAATTCCTAATCCATCCTTAATTGAGAATAAAAAATGGTAAGGCTGAGCTCAAAAGGGTCCACCTTTTTTAGGGTCATTTGGGTTGGGCAGGATTAAAGTGGTGCTGTCTTCAATATTCTTAAAAAAGACTGGTTACATCTCACTTAAAATTTAGCAGTTTTTTACCTTCTACCTTTAGTGCTAAAATTTCAGATTATAGTTCAGAAATTTTAGCATCGGACTGGTGTAAGCTGTGTTGCTCAGCATCATTTGGCTCAACACACACATCTCACTCCTGTGGTGTTCACCATATTTTGTTTCCCGTGAATCAGATTCCCGTTCAACTTATGTTATATCTTAGGGATAAGGTATGGCTTGTGTACAGGGCATTTAAACACCGATCGAGGGGAGGCTGCATGTTTTCAAAAGCTACTGACCAGTATTAAAAGACAATACAATACTTCCAAACTCATCATCCCCAAAATGAAAAGAGCAGACGATTGTATATTTCTGCCCCTAGCAAAAAAGCAATATTTGGTATTTGTTAATGTTTATAGAGGAAAAGAATGGAATAAAGTGATTCATAATGGCCTGACTTTGCCTCATCCTGACATGGCACTGTCACGCGAGTCAAAACTCAAAGATGGCTGCTGAAGTCTTTTCACGATTGACATCATAAATTAAGAATTCAAGATGACAACCAAGATTTATTAAAATCGTGTATAGAAAAACGGTTGTCCGTTTTTGTTTTATGTTCAGCTTTACGATTCAATTTCTTTGGAATTGTGCAAAGCAACATAGGCATATGGCATTTACCAAGCTCTCTTTTAGACTTTAAGTGCCCCTGACCGTTCAATTTGTTTTTTTTTGGTAGATTTCGATATCTTCCAAGAAGTCACTTTCGAAAAAAATTTTCAGAAATATTGAATCCTTTGTTTTTAAGAGCACTAAAAGTGAAGGCAGTATTGTCGATGTTTTCACCTATCGTTCACATTAGTCCCCCACTCAGCCAAATGTGTCCAAATATGGAGCATGACGTAAGAAAAGGACATCGTGCAAAAAGTCAAGGCATTCTGAATCGTCTGAAAGATACTATTCGCTACTTGTGTCGGAAAACTCTTCGGAAGAGGACATTTTCATACCAATAATCTTCGATCGCGCTATATAAACTTTCAATGCTTCGTGCTTTGGAATGGTGTCCTTTTCTTAGGTCACAGCTAAAAAAGGGTCAAATATCGGACGCGTCTCATTGGCTTGTCCTTAATGAGCCCACAAGACAAAAAGAAATGTCCAGCGGGGCTTATAGCGTGCAACAATTTAAAAATTTCAGCAACTTTTAGTGCTCATAAAAAAAGGATTCAACATTTCTGAAAGTTTTTTTCAGAAACGAGTTCTTGAAAGATATGGAAATCTACCAAAAGAAAACAAATTGAAGGGTTAGGGGCACTTTAAGTGTAATGCAACTTCACCATCTGTTATATATCCCTTTTCTTGATGGATGTGACCTCGTTGACAATCTTGTAGGTTTGCTTTGATGTAGAGTGGTTGTAAGGCTCTAGGGCCATTGAAAATAAGTGGAACTTGGGTTATTTTAGACGTTAGGAACAAATGCCTGTAGTAGAAAGGGGTTATTTCATACTTCTGAAAGAAAAATGTGAGGTTGATGCTACACAGATGGGCATTAGTTCACTCGTACAAAATCAATCGAGAACTTTGCACATTTGACCTGTGCCAAGTATCCATAGGTGCCCCAGAAAATTGTGATGTGGACTTATTTTGTTGGTGACTTAAGTGGTATACGTGCCCTTGCTGTGCAAAAAAAACTGTGTGATCATGAGTGTGATTTTTTCTTAGAAGTGTGGTTCACACTTTAAATCACACTTCTAAGAAATGTGATGAGTGAGAAGTGTGAATATGTGATTTAATAGTGTGAATCAAAAAATATTAAGGGTGATCACGTGTGTTATAACACTTATAAATGTGTAATTTAAGTAAAATCCAACGTATTTTTCACACTTTGTCACACTTCTTTCTTGGTTTCAACAAAATTGATTTTAATACCTTTAAATTAAGTATTTATAACTGCTGCTTAATCACGCAACAAAAAAATGAATTGTGATCAAAACTTTATGTTTTCTACCACACTAATTTTCATAAAAATACACAAAATAATATCAACATTCTTGCAAAGCTTGTTTTACAGTTTTGTTGAAAATTAATGTAAAATAACCATCAACAAATTCAGATTGTGGCACTCGTCTCCGCCATTGTTTGTATCACCCATTTCTAAATGCCCTGCATTTGCAGTTTATGCTTTTTGCCAACTTGGCCCATTCAGCATCAAGGCTTTCACCTGGCTGGAGTGGAATCTTTAAAAATAGATGGGCTGGAATAAAAATAGGGCATATAGATTGAAACAATTGCCACACACGTGACAATAGTAATATTATTATTATTAGCACAGTATCCTTTGATAGCAAAGTGAAGAATATATGTAGTATATTTGACTTCACACAATTATTTCAACTCAAGTTTTTATATGCAAATTAAGTAACATTCTTGTATACTTCTATGTGCATTCACAGGTGTTATCTTAAACCTTACCTGGGCAAAAACAATTAAATTATTTTTTAATTACCAGTGATACTTTTAGTTGTTAGTGAAAGAAAAGCCGGGGAATTGATCTTGTTTTGATAAACTGGGCTTCCAGGTTTTTTTTTTATCTAATTATTGAAACCATGCTGTTCCTACGTACCCCAATCAATATTACTCATTGCCAGCACGATTTTCTTATGAAAATCATGCTGACAAATATTAAGTCTATTATACGAACAATGTCTGTCCAATGTAAGTGAACATTACTTAAGCAAAATGACACTATTTATTGTCTAATTGGAAATGGCAAATAAGTGTAGAATATTCAGTAATACATAGATTTCTTAAGGTATATGTTCCATTTGACGCTTAGTTTTGATGGCCATCAACACATTGGAGTCCAATGCACTCTTCCTCTCACAGGAAACGTTTGGTAATTCTCAGTTTGGTACAAAAATGGGATATTTCAGGGATTCCTTTGGGTTTTAAGTGTTAATTTCCCAGATTCTGAAAATGCTACCAAACCATGTATGGGTCAACAATATCCCAATCATATCCAGATATGGGGTTTTTATGTCTCAGTAATAACCCTGTCGTGGGGTATTTATGTCCCATTTATTTCCCTAACGCGGGTTTTTTGTCTCAGTAAATTCCCGGAAATGGGTTTTTATGCCCCAGCATTTACCCTGACATGGGTTTTTTACATCCTAGTATTTACCCTGACATGGGATATTTATTTCCCAGTAATAAAGCTGACAAGGGGTTTTTATGACCCAATAATTACACTGACATGGGGTTTTTATGTCCCAGAAATTATT